TTTACTTCGTGCGGACGAGTCCTGCCGCTGAGGTGCTGGGCCTCCTCCGTCACGCTGTCTCTTTTCTACTTGTGCGGCGGTTGGGGTTCATGTACCTGCAGGGTCTTTCCTTCGGTGATAAGGAATATCAAATCGCCCAGCAGACAATGTCCAAAATGGGAGAAGAGTTCAGCGGCGTGTTCACTCTGAATGGATCCTACACTGGGTCCGCTGATGATGCTGTGTTCAACGCCGAGTGGGAGAAGTTCGCTGCCACCCGCCCGCAGGCTGTGATTGTGTTTGGTGCACGTGTGAACGACACCGTGAAGTTCATCAAAAGGATGATAACGAATACTAGCACCGCTGATGCCTACCTGCTTGGGCCGTTTGCACTACAGGACATTCTATTGAGTACGTGGCGTGAGGCAGTTGCCGGCGGAGCTAAGTTTGTGAATGGCCGACTGATCACGACAGGAACCAACCCACTTGCGAAGGACACCAGGTACAATGCAATCAAGCGGTTTAAGAATGAGATGAAGAAATATCTGTCGACCCACCCGGGCGATTACCCTAGCACGGATTACTTCCTCAAGAACGAAACGGTTGGCGAGTTGATGGTCACTGGGTGGATTGCTGGTGAGGTGCTCAATCAGGCTGTTAGCGTCCCTGAGGTGCTTAAAAACAACACGAAGTTTAAGGAGTCTCTCTTCGACCAGCGCCGGTATAAGATCGATGATCTTGTAATTGGTGACTTCGGTGGTGATTGCAGCGATATTGCCGATTTACACGGTGCCATCTGTCGCTGCAACCAAGGTGGGCGAACGGTCTTTGTTAAGCACTTTGTCGAGAACTTCGTTGTATGGAGGATTGTAGAAGCCACACTACTGTTGGATAAAACACGGTGTTACGCTGACAATTTTGTGCTGTTGTCTCCCTTCGGTATGCTTACGATGGTTATGACTGACCGGCAGGATGCTGTGACGGCAATGGAGGACATAAAGCTGGGTACCACAGCCGCAGTTGGCCGTCAGCAAGCAGCCGAAGGTGTTCGTTTTTTTGCTATGAGAACGATAAATACCACAGTGGTGAATGCCAGTGATGCCCTGACCAAAGAGAGCGAAATGCGATTTATTGACTGTGTGGTTGGAGCCCTCCCAGAATATCTGCTGAACACAGAAGGTGCCACATTCATTGACCCGGTGCCTCTCCAGTCGCATGTCAGTGAGTTTCGCCGGCACGTGATTTACCTGTCACCGACGCTGGAGCAGGAGTTCTTTGTGGTTGCGCAGTACCTCGGCAGCACGACCGGCGCCAACGCCCACGCTGTGATCCGCAGCGACGGGGCTGCTGCTGTTGTGGATGTGTGGAACATGTCTCTTGTTACGTTTGGTGGGTCGCTGCTGTCGTCCGCGCTGCTTGGAGGCGGTGACGCGCTGGAGAGCCACCTGCCGCGGAAGGGAGTTGTGTTCGTCGTGGGCCTCGCTGCTGCCGATGTCGCTGTGGTCGCGGGTCACCTGGCGAAGCACAGCGGTGTGCGTGTGTTTGTGCTGTTCACGGAGTTCTCGTTGCTGTACGGTGAGTTTGTTGCTGCGTTCAATGGGAGTGCGGCTGCTGAGCGCCTTGTGTTCGCGACGAGCCTGCCGCACTGGGCAAAGGAGTACACGAGGTCTCCGTCGGTGCAGAAGTTCCACGCTGCTGTGGAGGACAAGACGAAGTGGACTCCGCTGGCGCTGAGGAGCTTTGCCAACACACTGCTGTTGAAAACTATTCTCTCTCGGATGGATCAGATAAGTGCAGAACTTTTGGCCGACTTCATTTACACCAATGTTGCTATCCGGGTGGATGACATGCTGTACGGGACCTTTGATGATACCACGGATTGCGCCTTGCAGGGTGTGGAGGGTGAAGGCGGCTGTGCTATGAACTACGGAGCGACGCGTATTTCTGTGTGGTCGATGGCCCGCGTGTTCGACCCCGCGGTGCCTGAGCTGTTCCCCCCTGTGACACCGTCAATGGTGTACACAAAGCCGGATACCGACAGTGTGGTCACGGCGTTCCATCACTATGCAATTATTTTTGGTTCTATCCTTGGAGGATTGGTGATGCTTGCGGTGGCTCTGAGCCTGCTGTTCTGCTGCGGCCGTAAATCCCGTGACAACAACAACGCCCCGAAGGAGCCCACAGACCCCGTGACGCTTGTGTTCACTGACATCGAGAGCAGCACTGCGCTGTGGGCTGCGTGCCCCGAGATCATGCCTGACG